CGTTATTCTTAATGAGTTACACCATATTTTTGTGCATTTCAAAAGACTGTGTATTGCACAAGAGAGGAATATGATGTCTCTAAACTTATTGTGTTTTACAGTTCATTGAATAAAAATTATACTGGCTTTTCTATGTTTCTAATAAAGGACTGAGAGATGTATGCCTCTCACTGTCCCAAATGAGGAAAAGACATTATCTCTGGATGCCACCAAGGTCCTGCAATTTTTGGCCTGAGAGAAGATAAGAGAAACAGTCAAATCACTTTTTCCCTTTGAAACCAGGTGCTCAGAAGGATTATAGAGACCTAATGTAAGACCAGGCTACCTCTTCCTTTTATCACTCAAAGAATTCCACCTTCAGGCAGGGGACTGGAAGCAGTACAGTTAATATCTGAATATTCGATAGGGCTGTTTATTGAGGAATTCACAAGGTGGCTTCCCTATTAATAAGCTGTATTCTGTCTCTTGATATCTTGGAATTTCTCTTACCTATGATGTAAAAATTCAGAGTAAAGCCTAACACAGTGGGATAGGAAAACCTTTAGCAGATTCTAAAATACCTGGTTCAGGCAGTGGGATCTTGGTGAACTAATTAAAGACCTCAGAACACTTTTCTGCATTAAGCTGTAGAGGTCACTTCCCTATAGGGTTTTTTTGTTTGTTTGTTTGTTTTAATCTTTTTAAAAGATTTATTAAATGTACGGGGGTGACCTTGTTTAATAAAATTATATAGGTTTCAAGTATATAGTTCTATAATACATCATCTGTGTATTGCATTGTGTGTTCACCACACTAAGTCAAATCTTTCTCACCATATATTTGACCCCGTTTAATCTTTTCTACCTCCTCCTCATCCTTTTTCTCCTCTGGTAACCAACATACTGTTATCTGTATTTATGAGTTTTTGTTTGTCTTGTTTGTTCATATGTTGTTTCAGTTTTATATCACATGAGTGAAATCATGTGGCATGTGGTTCCTGATTTTTTCTGACTTATTTTTCTTAGCATGATATTCTCAAGATCCATCCATGTTGTTGCAAAGGGCAGTATTTCATCTTTTCTTAGCAGTAGTCCATTGTATATATGTACCACTTTTTCTTTATCTAATCACCTGTCAAAGGACACTGGTTATTTCCATGTCTTGGTCACCGTGAATAATGCTGCAGTGGACATAGGGGTACATACATCTTTACAAATAAATGTTTTCAAATTTGGGGGTAGATTCCAAAGGAGGGATTACTGGGTCATATGGTAATTCTATTCTTAATTTTTTGAGGAACCTCCATACTGTTTTCCATAGTGGCTGTACCAATTTACATTCCCACCAGCAATGTATGAGAGTTCCTTTTTCTCCAACACTTGTTACTAACTCTTCTTATTGATGATAGCCATTCTAACAGGTATGAGGTGGTATTTCACTGTGGTTTTGATTTGCATTTCCCTAATAGCTAGTGAAGGGAGAAGTGTCTGTTCAGGTCCTCTGCCCATTTTGTTGGATTATTTGTTTTTCTGTTGTTGAGTTGTCTGAGTTCTTTATAAAAGATTTTAGATAGTAACCCCTAGTGGTATTTGGAGGTATTATTTGCAGATATCTTCTCCCACCCAGTTGGTTGCCTTTTAGTTTTGTCAATGGTTTATTTTGCTGTGCAGAGCTTTTGATATAGTGTCATTCATTTTTGCTTTTATTTCCCCTTGCCTTTGAGGTTAAATTCATAAAATTCACTCCAAGACCAAGGTTTTTAAGTTTGCTACCTATGTATTCTGTATTTAATTGTTTCAGGTCTTATATTTAGGTCTTTGATCTATACTGAGTTAATTTTTATGTAAGGTGACAACTGGAGAAAAGAAAGCCTCTTCAGTAAATGGTGCTGGAATATTGGAAAGCCCTAGGTTTTAAGGTGAGAAGCGTTTAGAGATGGAGAGATAACTTTAGAGATGTTTTCTTTTACTATATACTATTCACTATATAGTCCAAATTTTGATGAACTGTAAAATTTTATCAGACGTACATCTTTTAGGGGGATTAACAGGTCTTGAGAGGCTTCTCCTCCAATTTTTTCAAAATTTGGAGGTGAAAAATAATGAGTTGGCATCAGTTTTATTCCTGTTTCTTGCTTTAGTAGAACTGAAGTCTTAAGAAACTTTATAATACAAAAAAAACTAGATGAGAATGGAAGGAATTTTGTTGTAACAGTGTCACACAATTCTTTTAACTCCTTCAAAATTATATACCAGAATTTTTTTTTTTTTTTAATGATTTATCATCTGGTGGCTTACTTACATCATTCTTTAATTTCATTGAAAGCAAGACAGTAGAAAACGTCTGAATTGCAATAAGATTTAAAAATTTTTTTTAAGAATGGTTGGTATATAGTAGATTAGTTTATGTATAAAATATAGTGATTTGACATTTTTATACCTTACAATGTGGTCAGTCCGTTAATTCTGTTAATCGCCTGTCACCATGCACACTTATTGCAATATTATTGACTATATTCCTTTTCTCCTTTTTTACCCATCTCCCTATTCCATCCCCTCTGGGTCTGTTTCTTGGAGTCTGTTTTTGTTTTGTTCGTTTTTTTTTTAGATTCCACTTATAAATGAATAATTACAGTATCATTTTCTTTCTCACCAATATTTAAAATTGTCTCTACTTGGTATTTAGAGATTTTACTTAAAGTGCCTTGGTAAGATTCAGAATAGATAAGAGGTGTATATTGTCTTATGTGAAAAGAATGATTGTTAAAAGGCATGATGCCTTGTCCTGAGGCATCTTTTCAGGCAGATCTTTAGGAAAGAGTATGAAATTGAAGATCTGGAAACCGATACCTTTAAAAATAACTTAGCTTGTGTTTACCAAGGGAGTCTCTGTGTACTATCTGAAAAACAAGTACCACCATATGAGGACAGTTAATTTAGAGAGTACCCCTCATCTTCATCCCACTGCCAGCTTGCTTTTGTTTCTAAGGGATACAAATAGGGTGTTCTTTTATGGCGTCGCTATTGCGTTCGTTGTTTTAACTCTGATGAGGGGAAAAAAAAAAAAGTTTGCACATTCTCTCCATGTCTGAGTGGGTTTTCTTCAGGGACTCGTTTCCTCCAACATCTCAAAGATGTGCACGAGGTGAATCAGCATCTGTAAATGGTCCTAGTTAAGTGAGTGGGGGTACATGTGTGTGAGCGGGCCCTGCGATGAATGGGCTTCCTTTCCAGGGTGCGTTTCTGCCTTACGCCTTGAGTTGCTTGGATAGGCTCTGGTCACCTGCAGTCCTGACCTAGAATCAGCAGTTTTGAAAGTAATTACCTTGTTTTTGTTGATTTTTCTTAAATGTATACATATAGCTTATTTCAATGTTTAATACTAGAGTGCTTTGGGTTTTTATTTACAAGTTTAGTGATGTTTTTGTGACCAGAAATAAGCCACAGAAACGTAACTCTTGTTTATATCAATTAGCCTGTGGTAAAATAGATTTTGTTGTATGTTGTTTTGCTTAAAGTCGCAGTTTCCAAGAACCTATGGGTGATACCAAGTGAGGACTTACTCTGTGTTTCTTATAGGTGGTATACGCAGGAGTGTAGAGGCTGAAGTGTGAGAAAAAGGGTCTACGGACTGGGAAAATGACTAAATGACACTCATGATGATGAACACAGAGAATACTACATTTAAGAATTAGCACCTAGATCTTGTTTCAAGCTTACATGAAATACTTTTTTGAGAATTGGTTACACATTAGGTTCTAAAGCAAATCAACAAAATTGCAATTCTTATCAACCAGACTACATACAGTACAGACCGTCTAGACCTTTAGTTTTGAGGAATACTGCCCTGGTATTTTGCAGTGTACCTCAGTGTGGGTACCTGATGCTTTCTTCCATTACACTGGGGTTGTGAGTTTTGGGGAAGACCACAGAAGTGAAGTGCCATATTCCACATCAAAGGTACATGCTATCAACGTGACTTTTCACTATTAACCTTGACTTCATAGATTGGACTGTCAAAGGGAACATTTCTACGAGCCCAGAGATTCTCTACATCCCCATGCTGTCTCAAAAACCCAAGCAGCCCATGACATCTCTGCCTACATGTATCTTTTTATGTATTCCTGTGTGCCAGCCCACACTACAGATTTTTGACTTACTGGCCTCTGACCAGTGAGCCAATTCCTTAGATCTACATCATATTGGTTCTCTCTCTGGAGAGTCCTAATACTCTCACTAAAAATGAACAGGTACTCTCTTTATCCTGTATCACGGAAAATTGAGGGCGAAGGAGTGGAACATCTTTTGGCCAGTAAATGGGGATGCTTTCAGAGCTGTCACAGGGCAGTAATAAAAAGTGTAACACTGGCCAAACACTGATAAGCTGAACATAGGACCGCAAGACAATTAACTGAAACACTTAAAGGCCTTTTAAAAATTGATAAATTTAAGCTAATCAAAATTAAACTTTTGCTCTGCTAAAGACTTTTTGTTAAGAGGATGGAAAGAAAACTACGGACTGGGAGAAAATATCTGCAAACTACTTATTTGATAAGACATATCTAGAATATATGAGTAACTCAAAACTCAACAGTAATAAAAAAATCCAATTAGAAAATGGCCAAAAGACAGACATTTCACCAGAGAGGATATATGGATGGCAGACATGCACATGAAAATATATTCAACATTATTAGCCATTTGGGAAAGGCAAATTAAAATGAGATACCACGTTTCTATCAGAACAGCTATGTGACATCAAATGCTGACAAAAGATGTAAAGAAACTGCTCTTACGTTGATGTGAATATGAAATGTTAGTCACTCTGGAAAAGTTTCACAATTTCTTATAAAACTAAACATTCAACCCATCCACAAGGATCCTTATTCATCTGATTAGGGGGAACCACTCATCTAGTCTCCTATAATTTACTGCTAGCATGTTATATAAATGGAATGATACTCTGGGACCTTTTAGGATTGGCTTTTTTAACCCCACAAACTTTCCTGGAGATTCATTCAATTTGTGTGTACCAACAGTTTACTTTTTTATTAATGACATGGATTTACCTGGATTAAGCCTTCACCCTGTTTCCAGTTTGGATTATTACAAAAAGTTATGAACATTAATATACAGATTTTTGTGTTAACATTATTTTTCTGGATAAATACCCAAGAGTTTTCTGGACATTGTCTTGTGTATAATATTGGAGAAACTCAGACCATTTCAAATGAATTATTAAATAAAATGTACTAAAACGTGATATGCATATGGAATAGAACATCTTATTATATTTTTTTTTAGTAAGGGATTTATTTACATATGTGGAGAGAGATTCAAAGCATCATTTGGCAACTTAGAAAAAAATGCCTGGAAGACACAGCAGGTATAAAGTATCTATCAAGTGAAATAAAAATATTCTTGAAACTAAACTGGTCCACCAATAAATTCTTTACAAGGAGAACACCACTTTAATTACCTTTGATGTCCATCTTCAGGAGTTACTTACAAAGGACCCAAGAGGGTAAATATCACCTTTAAATTAATTACTCAGGACAGAAAATGGTCAGGTAGGTCTGCATATTTCAGCCATGTAAATTTGAGTTGATAATACCACACATTTTCTCTAAATTCATTTATTTAGAGATAAAACACAGTCATTCAAATCACAGAACACAATATCAACACGTAAAATAAAGTTGGGAAATTAAGTTGAATTGTTACATTTCATGTATATTAATAAATATCGTAAAAGAAGCAAGTGTATATTTTAAGATTAAGACACTAAGGACACATACAAGTAACTAAGAGTTTCTAAGTTAAATGTCATAGTGTTTGATTTTCAGTTTGAAAGATTATAACGAATACATTTTAGTGAAACAGCAGCAAATACAAAAGCATTTTGAACTGTATAGTGTACTATAAGCAGTTTATTCTATAGCATTCCATCGTTCTGCTGGCCTAAGTTTATAGGTAGAAGGTAAGCTGGACATCAGTAATCCACATCACATAAATTATCCATCATTTCCGAGGTATAAAATCTAATATGCATATATTCTGAATAAAAATTATTCTTGAATGCCAGAAAGAACGTAGGCTATTTCTGGCAGACTTTGGACTTCTCAGTTTTGCCACTAATTAGCTCTCTGAGTCATTTAAGTCTGTGCTTCTGTTGCTTTATTTTTAAAGAGAGGACTGGACTAGATTTTGTCCATCTACTGAAGCTTCATATTTTGCAGTTTTTGTCCTATCAAAAGTTTATCACCTTTGATTTTCAAAACAAACATTCAAAGTGATTTTCAACAACTTCCTTATACTTCATGATTATCAAAATCTTTGTCTAAATTATTCAGAGTTCCTAGCGTCTCCAGTGAACCTACATTTTTGCATGTGTTTATAATGACCAAAACCAAGTTCACTATGTTGGTACAGAAGGCCATCCCTAACTCAGGAAAGATTACTACCTAAGTATTCAATTTGGTACCCATCAACACCAATCTTGAGTTTCTTTCAAGGCTCTGTCTCAATCTCCAGCATAAACTACACCGTTATCTATGAAACACTCCTGTATAAGTTTCTTAACTTCGTATCGAGGGAAAAACTTACTTCCAACAACTGGCATTTAAGTGACTTATTTATACAATTTTTAAATAACCATGTTCTTTGCAGTTTCCTGTAGGACAAGGCATCAAGTATTTCAAAAGGCAGCCATACACTTTTATAATTTCTGAGATAGCTAAAGTTCTAACACAATTTAAAAATCAAATTGTCAAGCAGTTTTGTTTAACTATTATTTTCACAGGTACACAGCAGATGATAAACCTAACAATGTCCACTTTTTCTAATACCATACTCATAAAACCTTTGTGATTCGGTCTAACACACATAACAAAGCGCTTGGCAAGAATATAATGGATAAAATGGCAAGCGGTAAATCTAATTCATGCCATAACAGGAAAGTTTCACGGCAAGCACACTCATACAACTTTACAAAACTTGGAAATACTGTTAATTTCAAATAAGCAATGATCAAAGTGGGACTTTCATGCCAGCCATCCCAGTCAGTCAAAATCACGATTTGTAAGAACAAGTGGTGCCACCAGTGTCCAAACATAAAGTACGATGCCAATCCAACTAGAAGAGATTTTCACCCAGACAGCTGTCCACTGACTTTTCATCTCACGAGAAGGCTCATACCTAAAATTTAAGGAAAATCAAAAGAGGGGTTGAGTTATCAGCCATCAAGCTACTAAGCTTCATTACTTCAGAAGTATGCTTTGTATAGAGCAGATATATAGCTGCTGACTCATCTGTTGCCTTGCTTTCTGTACTGCTTTAGTAGCTAATGTGAAGGTAAAAATCAGTAATTTTCTTTAAAGGAGTAAAGGATAGAGGCCTCTGAAGTAGCTCTTTGACACAATACTCAGAGGCTCTTTACGTATTTTTGGCTTAGTAGTTATGAGATAGCAGAGAAATTGAGTGTGACCTCTGGATAAATAAGATATTCTAACATAAAAGACTTATTAATCCTACTTTATAAAGAATATAATCTATTCAAAGCATATCTGGGGATCCATTCCCCTACCCTCGCCTTCTCAAATTTAAAAGACTGTGAAGGAAATACATCCCCAATTTGACTGATTTTTATGTAAGTGAAACAAACCCAAAATATTTTTAATCTAAAGTCTTAACATTTACTATTACTTGAGAGCTAAAGCTGTAAATTACTACTGAGAACTATGTGGATTCTTATAGCTTTATAAGCTGTAGTGTAGGAATTTTAAAAAATGTGTATTTTTCAATAATAAATGCCAGTAAAGGCTGCTCAAAGAAATGAGGCAAAGAGTAATCTTTTTTCTACATCTTTTGCTGGTATTCAAAGTCTCCTTACAAGTTGTTAAAGATATTATGAATTAATAATTATTAAAAACAGAACTTCCCAACCCATACATAAAACCTTTCAGTAATCATTTGGACAAAATTAGAATTTTCAAGAATAATAACTGCTACTTTCCTCTAACCAGAAAAAAAGATTTATGGATTAGTTTTGAAATGATAAAAAAAGCATAAAAGAGTTCTAAGGATCCATCTACACTAATGTATTCACACTTCAATTCTGAAACCTTCAAAGCTTTTAATGACAAAATTTGAACAAAACAGAAGAGGTATCTTTTACTGTATTTTGTCAAGAACTGGTTACAGTATTTAAAAAATAAGGAAAAATTAACTGTTGGATCAACTATCAACATGTATTTTTGTAAGAAATGTCAGTTTCATGAAAATTTCCATTTTAATCTCTTTTAAGAGAGATCTGGAAATATTTCAATGTTTGTTATTGCAAAAGCAAGAAAGTAAAGCCTCCATTTCTCACAATGATCTCACTATTCACTTAGCTGTAAATTTTGAAATACACTGGGAGGATAAAAACACCATGCTTTGCAATGGAATTACAAAAAAGCCATCAGATTTTCCACATGCAGTTTTCATAAAACAGTACCTGTACCAGTTGGTAAGGGTCATCATGATATAAAGGGAAGCCAGGAAAAGCATGAAGTGAAAAAAGGAATAACTGTAAGTGACACCATCCTTTTCATTATCTACAGCTCGGTGCACATCATCTCCCTCCTCCAGTGATCCATCACTTCTGGCTCCACCATCTTCTATCAGTGTTGATTCATCACTTGTTAGAGTCAGTTTATTAACCTGACTATTGTTTGAAGTACGGATACTGCATGAAAGACAGTTTAGGAAGGGAGAAGAAAAAAGACATTTAAAAAAATGTTTCATGAGTTAATAGCTAGACTTCTTGTTTAAAAAAAAATGGTAAATTTTCTTACCTAGAATATAACACACACAATAAAAAGAGGATTAGTCCTATAATTCCTTGAGCATGCCACCACTGAACAGACTGTCCCTCCTTTGAGACAGTGGTTGTTGTATTGTACCCAATTATGCTTAGTAGACTTGGGTTGCAATTTGTTTCTGTAATATAAATTAAGGTCAAATTAAAATGTTAGACTAGTATAAAAAATTTATTTTTCAAAGTATTTAATGATAGGTTTTTTAAAACTCCTTATACCCTTACCAATTCAAAAAAATTTTGCTCGAAAAGGGCACAAGTACAACAAAAAAATACTTTAAGACAACTTGTATTTATATTAACAATGAGACCTTTTAAACTTTTTAGTGCTAATTTTACAGAAGTGCTTGAAAAAGTTAAATAATTTTATTTTCAACCTCTTGCAGGAGTTGAGAGAGAAGCATTAATAACCTAATGCTTATTCAGTTTCTTAACTCTTGTAAGAAAGAAAGATGGGGATTGGTAAAGTATTCACTAAAGTGTCCAAAATATGTTTCCCCTTTCCACAAAGCTGGATATGTCAATCACCAACCTATTAATGAAAATTATTATCTTAAAGCCATAAGAATAATCTCTAAATCAAATTACTAATAATTTTTTTCTAACCACTCGCCTGGACAAAATAATGAATCTTCACTAATATACTAAACAAAAACACCTTTTTCTAACTAGTGATAAAACACCTACTGGGTTTGTAAACGCAATGAAGCGAGGTTCAGATACTATATTTTATAATTTTTTTAAGGAAAAGAGACCATTTTCTTTTCCAAAAACTAATTCCTCAACTAATTTGTTTCATCTCAAATGACATATTGGCTTCTATTCCCACGGAATTCAATGTAATTGGCCTATAGAGAGATTCATTAAAAAGCCCAATTACATTCACTTAAGTAGTCACAGGAAAAAAGAATAACTTATATGAAAAAGACTATACTGTTTACAAGTAAATCAACAAGCATGTGAACAGCTTTTACTTCTTTCTACCTATCATATATACACTGTGCAAATTAGGAATATTTCTTATAAGTTTCTTATAATTTTGTTAGTAAAAGAAACTAAGTTAAAAAAATATAGTAATACATCAATGACAACAATGGTATTATTTCCATATTCTTAATTTTTTCCTTTTTAGTTTTTGCTAAATTGAGGTAACATTAGTTCATAACTTTCAAGTGCACATTATAATTCAATACCTCTGTATACACCGTACTCACCACCAAAAGTCTAGTTTCCATCTGTCACCATACAATTGATCCTTTACCCATTTTGCCCTCCCTCTACCACCCCTTGCCCTCTGGTAGCCACTCATCTGTTGTCTGCCTCTGTGAGTTTGCTGTTCTTTTGTTTGTTTTTTATATTCCACATGAGTGAAATCATATGGTATGTCTTTCTTAGAGACAAATAGCTTAATTTCACAAAATGACCATCTTTGAAAAAAATAAAAGTTGCAGGATTGATTAAAAAGAAAAAAACTCAAGCAAACAAAACATACCTGGTTCATTGGTCATTGCAGACCATGTCAAATACATTGTGTACACTGTAATTACTGAAGATTGTAACAAACCAGATCTTGGTTGTGATTCCTACAAAAAATAATGAAACAATGGAGATAAATATTCTAACATGACTCGAGATGTAGGAAAACTTAGAATAATAGAAACTTCATAAAAACTAATGATATAAAAAGCATACTTGGATTTTTGGCAGTATAGACATTACAGAAGCACCAAGGCAGAGGAGCATGTTGACACTGATGAATGCTTTATTTTCTGAACAACTGGTTGGATGAGTATAATAAACAAAGAATAGTACAACAGCAACTAAAGACAGTAGATAATTCAAAGCTGTAGCTGATAACAAAGCTGTGAAAGAAACAGAATTGGACAATTAGATTTTATAACATATTAGGAAGTAGGAAGTAGGCGTAGGCCTTGTTTTAAAAGTAATCTTACTTTATTAAAAATATATTTAAACAACTAACATTGTCAGCATTATGCAGGCTATAAAAGCAGAGAAGAATTTTAATTCTGAACTTTATAGTCTTTACACATAGTTCACTATTATACACTTTCAAGTTAGCAACATACTGGTACGATTTTTATTAATAGTAATATCTATATTCAGAGTATGCAAAACATTCACATATGTTAACCACTGTTTTCAAGATACAGAAAAATAACTAGAATTATTTAATGTTTTTAAAGAAAAGTAAAGGCATTTGAAACAAAATTATTTTCATTGTTATGTTAAGCCCATAAAACAACTCAATTCGAATCTTTAAAAACTTGTTGGTATGCGAGAGTAAATCATGATTATTAAATAAGACAACCTAAGTTTCTTCTAAGTAAGTTTCAACATACAAAGTATATTTTAGTTTTTGTGCTAATGTGGACTCAATATACATATAGTTATGTATCTGCGTGTCACTGACAGGGGATCAATCCAACAGATACTTACTGAATGCCTACAAAGTTCCAGGCCCTGGGGATATAGCAGTGGATGAAACAGAAACTCTTGCATTAGATTTTGCACTAAAGATTGAGGTATTCTATATAAGTGAATTTTCCAAATGACCAAAGCTTATTTCTTTGAATACTAAACTTTCCTTATTTTAACCACTAAAATCAAATACTATAAACTAGTTGTGTAAGAGAAATATTAGGCTAGCAGATACACTGGATTTAGCTTTCGCTGTGATTTAAAATATTTTTAGCTGAAATTCAAATCATTTCATATAAAAATCTAGATTTAAGGCTACTTCTGAAAAAAAAAAATCAGAAAAATTAAGCAACACTGGGTTCACATTTCCACAAGGCAACTATTGGACGGAAGTGAGTACTAGCCATGCACTTTAGATAGGGTTTTCATGCTCTCCGATTCATCGTAATCCCTATTATTTTCACAAGGATTGAATATGAACTTAAACCTGGCTCTCTTCCCTCATTCCTGTTACACCTGTTTAAGCATCTGAATTTTCATGTTTTACAATATAACCATAGGACTCAAGCTCATCGTTAATAAATGAACATTAATTACATTCTAAGAATTCCCTTAATGTTACTAACACACATAAAGGCATCCTTTGAACTTAATAAAATATTCCAGAGCTGCTTTTTATATATTTTTTCTGTCTGTTCATGTTTATGAATTATACCGCTCTTTATCTATTTCTAGCAGTCCTAGTCCCTTTAAAATTTTACTTTTAACATACTGTAGGCTATGAAATTAGGCTTAAAATGTTCATACTTTGAGAATAGGCTTTGGAACATCTATTTTTGCAATTCGGGGTCTTTTGCAGTATGCCATGGTTCTTAGGTCTATGTTCCTAGCTGATGTGCCAAAAGCTCTCAGCAAGTTGTCAACACAATGTGAGACAATGCCACTCAAACTCCTAAAGTAAAACCTCTTCATAGAAAATTAACCCCATAAAAATTATGACTTCCCTAGTCTACATTTCTGCTCTCATCTTCAAAATTCGACTATCCTGAAGATGTTCTGTAAGACAAAAACTTACCTGCATACCAACATCTTGAGTTCCCTTCTTCCATTTTTTCAACCCATGATTCATTCCACGAATGAGCAAAATCAATAAGTAAGACTAGCTGTATGAGGATAAAGCAAAAGGCACCTGCCATGCCTACATAAAACCACACTGAAAGAAAAAACATATACATAAAAGTGAGTGGCTGGTTCAGTTTTTACTATTTCATTTTCACAATTCAATACACAAAAGGGAAAGTAAAATTTTATATAAACACTGATTCTGCCAACCAGGAGGGCGGGGGAAAAGTAGAGTTACTTACAGTTAGTTCCAGGAAATTGTTTCTTTATAAAATATCAATATCACACAATTTAAAAAAAAAGATTTCTTACCAGTTGTAAAAGTTCCTTCTGGAATGAAGAAAGCCCCAATAATAATTGCAACTGCTGCAGCAAATTTAAAAAACCAGAATCTAAAACAACAGAATGATTTTTTTATTAATAACATTCAACAAATAAGTTTCACATATAAAATATTTTAAAAGCATCTTAAAGAATAGGTAGCTACACTTTATGTAACTGTTCTATTGTTTCTGATGATATCCTGAAAATGAGAAGTGAAGACTACTATGTGAACTGTTTTAGGACAGTTTTAAGTAAGATATATGGGTCATTAATTCATTATAATAAAATGAAAATATCAGTTCTATTTCACAGATTTATTTTATATGAGTGTGATAATATATGAAAATGTAAGGTGAGCTGTATAATTACATAGGTTTCAAATATATGGTAAATACTCCATCCAAAACTCTAATAATAATTTAAAACAACCAGCTTTTAGGATATCAGCATCATGGCAGTATAAGACATCCCTACTTTCTGCCCTCCCTATATTTAACAAATAATTAGGCATCCATCCATAAAAGTGTCTCTGTGGGACTTGTGAGATCCAGCAGCAACTTGTCAAAAGACCTAGGAGGAGTCTTTCCCACCTGTGCATTTGGAAAGAGGCAGACAGACGTTGGTATGGGCTGCAAAACCAGCAAACTTGCCCAACGCCTCCCAGCCATGGTTGGGAAAACTTAGAGTGTGCCACCTTGGGTAAATAAGCACAGACGAGAGAATGTGTAGAAGTCCAGCCCTTCTGGGAAGAGATTCTAGCACACCATGTGTGAAAAAAGAAACAAGAAAAAAGATGAGTTTCAATGCAACAGATAGGGAAAAAGGAACTTTGCCAGTGCCACCCCTCTACCAAGGTGACTGTGTGGACACTACCTGGCAGCAACATCTCCTTTGAGGCTAAAGGAGAGCTGTGAGTGACTGGCTACTCCAGCTCTGCAGGACAATTCTAGAGAAACTCGTTTCTCTCCAGCAGCACCCAGAGCACACAGCACCTCCATGGAGAAAGAGGCAATAAGAATATCAAAGAGCATTAAAGGAACATAAAAAAAATAGTGCCTGCTGACTGTGCTCAGGACTTTAGCAGGAAGTCTGCCCATGAGCCTTTGGGAGAACCTTAGCCAAGGACCACTCTACAGGCTGTCGGGACCCCGAACACCCTGAGTACTAAATCCACACACCTCCCAACTCTCTGTGGCAAGTTCCTTGTGTACGCTCCCCTCAAAACAGTGAGAGCAGATTGATAATGAGAATGTTCTAAGAAAAAGAGGACATAATCTGTGGGCAAAGCAGAAACCACAAACTTGAGGTGTAGTGCCACCTCTGGAAAACAAGAGATTTCCAGTAGCCAGGCTGGTGGGTTTTAAGAACTAAGGACAGAAGCTTAAGAATTCTGCCACAAAAGGGAGCAGGAAATGTGGGTCAAGTGCATAAATATGAGGTCAGAGAGAACCCCAGATATAACAGGATCAATGAACAGTACCTCATCTGAAGGCAACTAGTAAAGATTTGAGATGTATGCTACGTCAAAGGAAAAAGTAGCAATGCAAAACTACAAAGAACATGAAGGATCAAAACATTTCACTGCCACAAGATAACAATAATTTTTCAATAACTGAACTCAATAGCACGGAATCTTGCAATCTAGCAGATAAAGAATTCAAAATTTAAGACCGAATCAGGAAGAAAATCTGAAGAGACCAATAAGAAGTTAGGATACTAAATCAGTAATTGAAAACCTCTCAAAACAGAAAAGTCCAGGACCAGATGGTTTCACTGGTGAATTCCACCAAACATTCAAAGAATCAATGCCAAAACTTTTCAAATTCTTCCAAAAAATTGAAGTGGAGGGGACATTTTCAAACTCATTTTACCAGGTCAGCATTACCCTGATGCCAAAGTCAAAAACTACAAGAAAACTACACACTAATTTCCCTAATGAATGTAGATGCAAACAACAACAACAAAAAGTTAACAAATTCAAAAACACATCAGAAGGATTATAGAACCATGACTAAGTGGAATTTATCCTTGAGATATAATGATGGTTCAATATACACATACCAGTAAATGTGATAATTGAGTGAAAAATAAAAATCACATGACTATTTCAATGGATGAGGAAAAAGTATTTCACAAAATACAATATACTTTCATGATAAAAACCCTCAAAAAATTAGGTATAACAGGAACATATCTCAAAATTTTAAAGGTCACATATACAATACCCACAGCTAATGTCATACTCAACAATGAAAGAATAAAAGCTTTTCCTTCACAATCAGGTACGAGTTCAAAGAGTTCTCACACTCACCACATAGTACTGGATGTCACAGCTAGAGCAATCAGGTAAGACAAAGAAATGAAGGGCATCCAAATTGGAAAGGAAAGAGTAAAAAAACTGTCATTATTTGCAAATGATACGATCTCATTTACAGAAAACCCTAAAGACTCAACCAAAAAACTGCTGGAACTAATCAACAAATTCAGTGAAGATACAAGATATAAAATCGACATACAGAAATCAGTTTAATTTCTATACACTAACAACAAAATATCTAAAAAAGGACTGACAGAACTATCCCAATTCACAACAGCATTATAACCAATAAAATACTAATAAATTCAGCCAAGAAAGTAAAAGATCTATACAATGAAAACTACAAGGCTGTGAAGAAAAGAACCTGGAGAATATACAAACAAATGGAAAGATATCCCGTGTTCACAGATCTGAAGATTAATGTTGTTAAAATGTCCATACTATCCATCTATAGATTTGATGTAATTCCTATAAAAATTCCAATGGCATTTTTCACAGAAATAGAAAAAACAATCCTAAAATTTGTATAAAACCACAAAAGACTCCAAACAGCCAAAGTAATCTTGAGAAGAATGAAGCTGGAGGTATCATGCTTACTAATTTCAAACAATCCTACAAAGCTATAGTAATCAAAACAGTATGGTATTGGCATAAAAACAGACATATAGACCAATGGAACAGAATAGAGAGCCTAGAAATAAACCTTTACAGATACATTTAACTAATATTTGACAAAGGAGTTAAGAACACTCAACAGGGAATGACAATCTCTCTAAAAGACAATCTTGGTAAAAGTGAATAGCCACAGACAGAAAAATGAAAATGGACTATCTTACACTACTCACAAAAATTAACTAGAACTGGAGTAAAGACTTGAACCTAAGACCTGACACCATAAAAGATACTAGGAAGATACTGATACTAGGAAGAAGAAACTGGAAAGAAGCTCCTTGACATCAGCAATGGCACTGAGTCTTTGGATAAAACAACAAAAGCACAACGACAAAAGTAATAAAACAAGTGGGACTACATCAAACTAAAAAGATTCTACACAGCAAAAGAAACAATAAAATGAATTTCCTACACAACAGAAAAAACAATGAATAAGAAGTTAATGTCAAATACATATAAAGAACTCTTATAACTCATTAAACAGTCCAATTAAAAAATGGTCAGATGAACTTTTTTCCCAGAGAAGAAATACAATGCCAATAGGTATATGAAAAGGTGCTCAGTATCACTAATGATGAGAGAAATATAAGTCGAAACCATTATGAGATATCTATCACCTAACATCTGTTGGAATGGCCATCATCAAGACAATAACAAGTGTTGGTAAGAATGTGGTAAAAAAAAAAAAAAAAAAGCCCTGTGCACTGTTAGTTGGAATGTAAACTAGTTCAGCCACTACGGAAAACAGTATGAAGATTCCTCAAAAAATTAAAAATAGTCCTACCATATGGTTCAGTAATTCTACTTCTAGGTATATATCCAAAGGAAATAAAAACAGGATACCGGAAAGATATCTGCACTTCCGTGTTCACTGAAGCATTATTCACAATAGGCAAGATATAAAAACAACCTGGGTGTTTGTCAATGGATGAATGGATAAATGAATTGTAATATATATACAACAGTAGATTATATAGCTATAAGAAGGAAATCCTTGCAACACGGGTGGACCCTTGAGGGCATTATGCTAAGTGAGATAAGCCAGACAAGACAGATACATACTAAATGATATCACTATATGTGGATTCTGAAAAAGCTGAACTTGTAAAACCACCACCATTCTTGGTGGTTACCAGGATCTGGGATTGGGTAAATTGGAAGATGTAGTTTAAGGGTACAAACTTGCAACCAGTAAGTCAATAAGTAAGTCCTAGAGATCTAAAGCACAACTTAGTGATAGATTATAAGCATCAATTATGTATTAGAGACTTCGAAGTTGCTAAAAGACTGGACCTTATTTGTCCTCACCGCAAAAATAAATAATGACATGATGTGATAAAGGTGTTAGCTAACATTATAACATTTAATCATACTGCAATACATAAACATTAAAAAGCTTTGTATCCCTTAAACCTATACAACTATACATCAATTATATCCTAATTTTTTAAAAAAGCACATGTAACAAAGATGGTTATAAGAGTTAGAGCTACATGCATATTACTTTGAAGAGTTCATATAGCTGTGATTGCCATTCTGTAATGCATTTTGAAAAGTGTTTAAAAACATATCTAATGAAGACGGTTATGCGTGCTAAAAAAAAATAAAGCCAATGACTAAAGAGATAAAATAAAATCAACCTGTTACAGCATATTTTTTCATTACTATTTATATTTCACTTGTTCATTCTTCCTGTCTTTGGTAGCGTATATTAATAAGCAATAGCAGAGACTCAAATTTTTTTTTTAATTTATGGGGTAGAGGAAGAGACAAAATTGAACACATTCAAATAGAGTATCAAAAATGGTGCTCTATATTGAGAGATTAATAACAGACTGTGAAGTTTCCTTCTAGGCTGTCCAATGCAATCAACCACTTAGAAAGCAACCGCTCTGTTTAGGAATAAAGTTTTTCATTTTGTCTGCATTGTAGGTCTAAGTAACCAAGTTCTGTTTTATGTAGTTAGACTGGTCTACCAAAAGCTAAAAGGAGAAAAAGGAATAGCTCAAATTACTAGTCACAGCTGTGGTAGACCGCTTCTTAGGACAAAAACATAAAACACTGTGCATCAGAGATTATACCACTAAATGATCCAAGGCTATTTAACATTTATGTTTCCAGTTTGACATTTTAAAGTAGACGTGAGGATTTTCTTACCATTGAGCATCATAAATAACAAAATAATTTGGCAAATTGTGTAAATTTATTTTACTTTAATGTTTCTTTAGACAGACTCAAAATTACTAAGAGGCTACCCAGACTTTTATAGTCATGTACCACATAACATTTTGGTCAATAACAAACCATATATACAATGGTGGCCCATTAAGATTACAACGGAGCTGAAGAATTCCTATCGCGTCGTGACACTGTAGCTGTGGTAATGTAATGCAACACGTTACTCATTTTTTTGTGATGATGCTGGTGTAAACAAACCTACTGTACTATCAGTCATATAAAAGTATAGCACATACAATTAGTACAGTACACAGTATCTAATGATGCTAAAAAGCAATTGTTAATGGTTTATGTATATACTTTTTTTCAAAACTTATTTTTTCAATTACAGTTAACAGTCAATACTAGATTAGTTTCAGGGTATGCTATACATTTTTTTTATTTTATTATTATTTTTTATTTTATTTTTTTCAGCCTAGACAGTGGTTTAATAGTAACGGTGTTTTAGAGAACTACATCTTGGATATGCTGAGACTGCATCCCACCTGCAGTGTGAAGAGTAAGCTATATGTCTACAGTGGCTTCAAGGTGCACCTAAAGAATGGAGCAGCCACAGCCCACATGCCATGTACGTGCCATTTTTACTAAAACTATGATGCTAAGGACAATGAAAGGGGATGTTTGAACTATGTTCTGATGAAGGAGAATGTGGCCACATTCACTAGTCGGGCAAGCACTTATTTCTTTTCCCCCTGAATCAAGAAAAAAAGATAACAGTGTACTCTTTTCAACTTACATAAAAGTTTTCTGTAAAACAGTATGCTGTTATGCCAGTGGCGGCCTCATACAGCTTGTGTTTACATCTCTTGACTGCATCATTTTTCTCTCGTATTTGATTTAATCTCGTGGTGTTTTATAAATACAGTGCAGCCTAAGTGTACAAGGGTTTATAAAGTCTACAGTAGTGTACACTAATGTCCTAGGCTTTCACATTCACTTGCTACTCACTCACTGACTCATCCAGAGCAACTTCCAGTCCTGCAAGCTCCATTCATGGGAAATGACCTATATAGAAGTACCATTTTTTAAATCTTTTATACTGTATTTTTACTGTACCTTTTCTATGTTTAGATACACAAATACTTAACACTGTGTTGGAGCCACCTACAATATTCAGTACAGTAACATGCTGTACAAGCTTGTAGCTTAGGAGCAATAAGCTATATTATATAGCCTAGCTGTGTAGTAGGCTATACCATCTAGATTTGTGCAGTGCACTTTGATGTTCTTAAATCAACAAAATCGCTTACCAACCCATTTCTCAAAACGTATCCCCATCATTACGCAGAACATGACCGTATTCAAAAACTTACCCATTGTGCACTGCAGCTCTAGGATCACTGCTGCTCTTCACTTTGATCATTAATAGAGAGAAGAGAAGATAGAACATAGCCAAGCCAAAGCACAAACGGTATACAGCTTTGTAGCCAACAAGAATGTTACAAGGGACGACACCTTTCTCATTCTCACAAAATCCAGGAATCTAGAATAACAAAACAAGAGTTTGTGATCTAGAATTTTTTCAAGTAAAAATGAAAATGCTGTGTAATCAAACAGTTTGAGTAAAGGTTTAAAACTTGAAGTCTGCTTTCGTTTATGCTGAATATGTAATCAAAGTTAAGTCTAGAACATTTTCATCAGATAGAAATTTAACTTTTCTCACTTAAGTGAGCGGATGATAAACTATAAATAACAATCCTAAACTAAATGTGACTTTCAGACTTAGTCTAAATTTTTAAAAATTTGCATTCTACTGTGATATACTAAATTATCTATAAAAGAGAAAAATAAAACCAATGAAAGTTTAAATAGTGATAAAATAACTAAGTCAGTTTTTAAATCCTAAAGAGAACAATGATGGCTTTTCAAAACCAATGCTACTTAAATTCATTTTGAGTTTTAGTCCCTTATTCTAGAAGTGTTACTTCTGATAATGAATGGATTTGGGTTAACAGAATAATTGGTGGTAGTGATTTTACTTTTTAACGTAGAATCCTGAAAAAGACTGATGACCACTTCAGAAAGTCACTTTAGAATCAGGATACGAAATTATAATTTTAAGTGAAAAAATGGGATTAGTCCTCCCTGAGAGCTACATACACTATTTGTACGTATGAGAATGAATGACTTCCTCTAGAAAATGTTAAAGAAAACCAATATGGTAAAATATACTTGTTAATTTGGCCTTTAAAATCAAGAACTTAAAATTATAGTTACACTAGTGAAGGAGCTACTCCCTTTTGTTAGTTTCTACACAGTCAATAAGCCCTTTCTTGGTCTCACTTAAATCCTTTCTGACCCAGTTGAAACCTTATGGCAATATGTACTTACCCATAATCACTTGCAACACATACTGGCTAGCACCCTTAATTATCCCACCCCCTTAGAGCAGCATACTACCTGGCCAATTACCATCATTAAGTTAATTCAGCCATCTATATTAATGAAGTTAAGCTGGTATAGTAACAACCCCAAAATATCAGTGGTTAAAAGAGCAAAGGTATATTTCTTGCTCATGAACATGTACATAATTGGTCCTGAGTAGTCAACTCAGGAATCCAGGCTGCTGGAGAAGCCATCATCTCAAATGATGCACAGGTTGTGACAGAAAAGGAGATACTACATCAGCAAGTAGAGGCTGATGTGTATCACTCACAACTCACTGACCAGTACTAGGGACACGGACCTATGTATCACAAGCACTCTAGGAAATGCAATTCTTTGGTGATCTTCAGAAAGCAGAGAAGCAGAAATATTTGGTGGTAAGAACTAACATCCACCAACTAAACTAATCATAAACATGGTCAAATGGATCTATGACAAAAATCAATAATCATTTATTGGCATGTCTTTGGCTTATACCAAGACTTAAACAACATTAACTGAGCATCCAGATATGCCATGTACAATGCTACCTACTTTGAAAATCATAATAATTTCATTTCCCAAACTCACCATTTTTCTTTATCTCAAGGCCAACTCCAAACAGACAACTGTAGAAGTTCTCTGACATACATACTCTCTCTAAACCTCAAATTTTCTATTCATCTTGCTTTGGAGGACAGCTAACTTCTCTATCCCTTCTCCTAATCATTCTCTCTCTCTTCCCCCCTCCCCACTCTATTCCTCCCTCCTTTCCTCCCTCTCTCTAACACTAAACATACACACAAACATGCGCATGTGTGCACGCGCACACGTCCTGCAGTACCCCTAAGTCAACATTTTACGAACTAAATAAATTGGATTTTCCTCATTTCCTTTTACAATCTGACTTCCTGAAAAATATTTTTTAAATAAAACACCTTATTTTTTTTCTGGATTACCATGTTTCCTTCTGGTTGTCTAAGACCAGAGCCTTTTCATTATTTAAAATTCTATCACTGCCAATATTTAAATCTAGATTCAGTCCAAAAATCTATTTCAAGCCCTTGATACACTCCTTGACTACACCATTGCAGCAGCCTCTACAATTAACTGCTTGACTTCTAAATTATCAGATTGCTCTTCCTAAAGCATATGTACTCTAGTCCAAAAAGCTTTGTCTCCATGCTGCTTCCTATTTTTTAATTTCTGAATATAACAATTCTACTCAATCTCAGAATGTCCCTTTTTCCATGAAACCCCCAGAGATTCTGACATTTATTTGGTTAGAATTACTTATTCCTTCTTAATACCACAGCATATTTTCTGTACCACCATCACAGAATTTAATAAGCTGCCTTACATTGTCTTTCCTAAAAGATGATTAGCTACTAAAACTGGGATTACATATTATCTTACTTCGTACATTATTCTGTTTCTAATACACAAAAATCATTTTCATGCATATGCACACTGTATGTTCAGTTAATCATTAAAAAACACTAACCTTATTCAGCTGTTCTTCCATTCCTGGTATTAACATTACACAAGCTACACACACTCCAACAAGCAAGAAAAGTGCATAGATCAACCTAGTCACAGTGGAGTTGTTTCCACTAGGACAGCATCGGCACAGCAAACACGGGGCACTGCCGCACAAACATGGTATCTGTGAAAAGAATATTAAAAACCAGTATAGTTTAAAATGATAACAGTGAACATCTTCATTCTATCCATTCAAAAATGAGAAAGAAAACTGAAGTTAAAATTTTTATTATGAAGGGGTAAAAGTTATATGATTCACATACATTATCTCTAAATTATGAAACTTAGTAACTTCTGGGTAAAGATGAAGCTAAATCAAACATTAAAATGCTTGTCTCTGTATCAAGCAAAATGAGTAAAATCAGTTAAAAGAAAGGGAAAAAAATCAGCAGCAACTATAGTTGAGTTAAAAAAAAAAGAAACAGAATATTCATTGTCATAAGTCCATCTCTAGCACCTGCACATTAGCCCCAGAAATTATACTAGTGAATTCACAAAATTCTCAAATACTCCAGAAGAAAACAAGTGAATTGGTATCCATATCTTTTCCCTCTTAGGACTTGGTGGTAATGGTAACTGAAAATTACTTCTAGAATTAGGCAAAATAAGATAAGTGAAAACTAGGGCCAGCTAACTTTCTCCAATAGAACTCCACATAAAGTCAGGCCAAGTTCGAGTACCAGTGACTAGACTTAGCCTACTACCTTAATCAATGGAAAAAAATAAATGAAACATGGTTTTCATACAATTAACAATAGGCAATACAGGATGGTAATTTCTAGGAGAGCGAACAATGTGAGCCCTATGACGGGCCCATCATTCTGCCTGGGGAATTTCCAGTACAAGAAGTGCGATCCAGGCAGAGGTCAACAGTCTACTTGGGCTGAGACAAAGTTGGGAGTTCAGGAAGTGAAAGTAGCTTCACTGGGCAGAATCCTAGAGAGGAGAAAGCTACAGAGTGAGTGCTAGAGATCTGCAATCTTCAAGTTGAGTCTTCAGGAGAGCAATGACCAGTGCATACATTTGAAAAAAATTACCCAGGAGGAGGGAGGAGTTGGTATTCCCACCAACTAGAGTGAAAAATCCTTGTAATCCATGAGGCATTGAATAGAGTTATAAAGTTATTACTCAGGAAAAAAATCAGCCATAAGATTAAAGGCCATTCCAGTGTCACTTAACGAAGCCTAAAAGCAAACACCAAAAAGATCCAATTCTCTTCAAATAACTCACCTATGTCCAAGAACAAAGCCTAAGAATATGTTTTTAAAATACAAGTATATCCAGCACCTTTGTCAAGTATTGACTAATGATATTTATGTGGGCCTATTTCTAGGCTCTCTATTCCGTTCCACTGGTCTATTTGTCTATTCTTTTGCCAATACCACAGTCTTGATTCCCACTGCAGCTTTGTCAATCCTCCAACTTTGTTCTGCAATATTGTGTTGGCTATTCTGGGTCTTTTGTCTTTCCATATAAACTTTAGAATCAGTGTGTCAATAGCCACACAATAACTTGCTAGGATTTTGATTGAGATTGCACTGAACCTACAGATGTTTGAGACACTGATAGCCTAACAATATCAAGTCTTCTTAATCCATGAACACAGAATATCTATCCTTTTACTTAGCTCTTTGACTTTGTTCATCAGTTTTGTAGTTTTCCTCCTATCAATCTTGTATTTACTTTGTTAAATGTATACCTAAGTATTTTGGGTTTTTTTAGATGCTAATGTAAATAATATCACGTTTTTAATTTCAAATTCCATTTCTTAATTGCTGGTCTATAAGAAAGTGACTTACTTTTGTAAGTGACTTACTTATTTCCTAGTAACTGCAACCTTGCTGTATCTGCTTACTAATTCCAGAAGTTTTTTCTCAAACCTTTTTTATTTTTTACATAGATGATAATGTCATCTGCGAAACAAAAGACCATTTTATTTCTTCCTTCCCACTCTGTATACCTTTTATTTCCTTTTCTTACTGCATTAGCTAGAACTTCCAGGATAATGTTGAAAAGGAGTGGTGCGAGGAAACATTCTTGCCCTGTATCTAATTTTAGTGAGAAAGCTTTGAGTTTCTCACCATTAAGTATGATGTTATGTTAATATTCTTTATCAAGCTGAGGAAGTTCCCTCTACTCCTAGTTAACTGTTTTTATCATGAATGAGTTAAATTTTGTCGAAGAATGCATTTTCTACCATCTACTGATGTGATCATGTGATTTTTTTTTAAAGGCTGTTGATGTGATGGATTACATAACTGATTTTTGATTGGTAAACCAGCTTTGCATACCTATGAATGTTTATAGTAGTTTTATTCATAACTGCTCAAATTTTAAAGCAACTGAGATTTCTTTCAGTAGGTGAATGGACAAATGAACTATGGTACATCCAAGCAATGGAATACTATTGAGTGCTTTTAAAAAAAAAAAAAAAAAAAAAAAAGGGCAGGCATTATCAAGCCATGAAAAGACCTGGAGGAATCTTAAAAGGATATTTCTAAATAAAAGAAGCCAATCTGCAATGACTACATACTATATGATTCTGGAAAAGGCAAAAAGATCAGGGGTTGGGAGTGGGTAGAGGGATGAATGGGCAAGGCAAGTTGGATTTTTAAGGTAGTGAAATTATTCTGCATGCTCCTATAATGGTGGATACATATTTTATACATTTGTCCAAACCCATAGACTCACTACCCAACACCAAAAGTAAACTCTAACTTAAACTATAGACTTTAGATGATTATGATGTGTCAATGTAGGCTGATTAATTTTAACAAACATACCACCTTGGTGGAGAATGTTGATAATCAGGGAGGTTATGGTATGTGGGAATATATAGGAAATCTGTGTAGCTTCCTCTCAATATTTCTGTTAATTTAAAATTACTCTTTAAAAAGTCTTTTAAAAAGTATATATAAAGTATGTATAAAAACACATTGTGATCAGGTGGGGCTTAGCAGAGGAAAGCAAGTCTGGTTAAGCTTCTGAAAATCAACCAATGCAATTTATCATATTAACAGACTGGAAAAAAAAAAAAAAAAACCATGGTCATTTCAATGGGTGCAGAAAAATCATTTGACAAAATTCAATTTCCATAATAAAACAAATAAAAAAAAGTTCTGTAAACAGGAAATAGAATATCCTCAAAAAATCTATAGCTGCTATCCATACTTCATGGTGAAAGTCTAAATGATTTCCCCTAAGATCTATAGCAAGACAAGGATATCTGCTCTCACCACTTGTATTAAAACGTCACATTGGAGGTCCTAGCCAATATAACAAGGCAAGACAAATAAAGAAAAGGTATAACACTGGAAAAGAAGAAAAAAAAAATGTCTCCATTCATACATAATTGTCTACATGGAAAATCCCAAAGAAATTAAAAAATGCTACTATAATTACAAGTGAGTTTAATAAGGTCATAGGATACAAGGTCAATGTACACACATCATATGCCTTCATACTAGCATAAAACGACTGAAAACTTAACTAACCAAATAAGCTAAGTATAAATCTAACAAAATGTATACTACATCTCTAATGATGAAAATTAGAAAACATCGATATAAATTAAACCCTTAAACAAATGGAATGATAAACTAGGCTTACATTGTGATGTCAATTATTTCCAAACTGACCTACAGATTCAATCCAATTCCAATCCCAGCAGGTATTTGGTAGAAATAAACCAGCTGCTTCTAAAATTTATATGAGAAGGCAAAGGAACCAGAATACCCCAATTTTGAAAAGGAATGGTTAGAAGACTCATACTACCTACTTGAAAACTACTTTTAATTTAAAAGTGACTTTTAATCAAAATAGGATTGGTCTGGGCAAAAGTATGGACACATAAATAGAACAGAGTTCAGAAACAGACTTATACAAATATAGTAAAAGGATTTTTGGTAAGTGTCAAAGCAAATGAACATAGGAAGGATAATCTTTTTAACAAATAGTGCTGAAATTATTTATTTTAAAAAAATTACCTTAAGATTTCTTAGATACAATATGAAAAGCACGACCCACAAAAAGAAAATGATAAATTGGGCCTCACCAATATTAAGAACTACTTCTCTTTGAAAGCGGAGAATGAAAAGACAAGCCACACTTTAAAAATATATACATATTTGCAAATCAGATAGCTGAAAAACCATTTGTATGCAGAATATAAGGAATTTTCAAAACTTACTAAGAACACAACCAAAACGAAAAATGGCCAAAATATTTGAACACTTCGAAAAAGAAAATATATGGACAGCAAATAAGCACATGAAAAAGTGCTCAATATCATTAATTAGGGAAATGCAAACTAAAACCCTGAGATACCACTACATGCATATTAGAATGGCTAAAATAAAACTGATAATACTAAGCACTGACAAGGATGTAAAGTAACTATCAGTCTCTTTGCTGGTGAGAATGAAAAACAGTATAGCCTTATTGGAAACCAGTTGGGCAGTTTCTTATGTCAAACACACACTTATCCTTTCATTCAGAAATTCCAGTGCTAGATATTTACCTAAGTGAAATAAGAACTAATAGTTACACAAAAAACTTTTATAGGGATTCTTACAGCTCTCTTATCACCAAAATCTAGAAATGCCCCTTAACTGGTTAGTGGATCATTAATGTGTGGTATCTAAGCAATGAAATATCATGCTACAATAAAAAGAAATAAAGCACAATGTAAATGAATCTCAAATGAATTACACTAATTAAAAAAAGCCAGACTCAAAAGACCATCTGCTGTATGATTCTATTTACATTATATCTTGGAAAGGCAGAACTTGGATAGAAAAAACTGGTTGACAAAGATGGGGACGGCAGAATTTTTTATGGTGATAACTATTCTGTAGTGGTTACACAACTACACGATTTGTCAAAACTCACAGAACTGTATACTACGAAGCATTAATTTTATGTAAATTCTATTAACTAAGAAATGAAAAGAAAATAAATAAAAAGTAATACGGAAGGAAAAATAAAGACAATATAATAACATAAAGGTAACTGGTGCTCTTGAAAGAGAGAATCCTCTAAATAAAACAAAGAAAAAATGACAAAGATATAACAAAAGCTTCCTTAGATGAAGAAATAATCTGTATTTTCCAAAGAACACTATTTTCCAGAAGAAAAACAATGATAAAAGATTTAAAATCAGACATATTTATTTGGTTAATTAATTTCAAAGATAAGTAAAAGCTCTTCAGATACAGGATGATAAAAGATTTAAAATCAGACATACTTGGTTAATTAATTTCAAAGATAAGTAAAAGCTCTTCAGGCAAAAGAAACAAGTCAACTGCACAGGAGATCTGTTGAGAGGGTTTGGATACCACGGTGTTTTAACAGAACACAATCCATAGAAATCACTACAAAGTTCTGAAGGAAATGGTATACAGCTAACCCTTGAACTATACAGGTTTGAAGTGTGTGGGTTCACTCATATGCAGATTTTTACAAATAAATACCTAAACTTTTCGATCTGCACTTGGGAGTCCAAGGATGTGATGAACTGACTGTATGCATTGATCTATACCATTTTATATAAGGGACCTGAACATCCATGGATTTTGGTATCCATGGGAGTCCTGGAACCAAGCCCCTGTGGAAACCAAAGGTAGTTACATTTGGGGGAGTCAAAATTTAGATTTTCAACTGCTTGGGAGTCAGTGTCCCTAACTCCCTTTCACTTTCAAGGATCAACTATACTATTGTACCAATCCACAATATCTCTCAAGAATTTGTAAGTTTTAAACATGAAAGAATTTAGATATTTCAGCATCTGCGAACTGTTTTTGAAAAATCTATTAAATGACACAATTAGGAGATGGCATTAAAATTTTTAAAAATTTGAGAGAAGACATGGTAAAAAGGAATGCTTTGAGCTTTCCACTTAAGTGGAGGGTTTATTAAAACAGAATGCTGGGCCCTAGTCAGTGTTTCCAATAAGTTTCCTAGTGTACTGATGCTACCAAGTCCAGGGAATACATTTTAACAATGACTAGTTTAGTTCAAAGACTAAGCAACTACGGAAATTATAATGGCCACATATAAAAAATAATACCAAAGAAATTCTACTTAAAGATGGCAGACTGAACATATGAATTTATTCATATTCCCTTCAGAAACACCAGTAAAATGAAAAAGGAAATTTTAAAAGAAGAAATAAAAAGTCAAAAGAACAGATTATATTTGGAAGACAGAGTATAATAACTGACTTATCAGAACAAGAAAGTTGAATGATAACCCATCAAAGGAAAAAATTAAGAAGCAATAAAATTTACAGCAGAATCTCCAAACAAATCAAGAAGGAATCGGTGGCACAAGATACCTCCATAAGTGAGGCAGAAAGGTAGAGATGAAAACAGGATTGGTTAAATGTCTTTTTAAAGAGCAATTAAGACTCCAGGTTTTATTCCATTTTTCACTCTGGACAAATGAAGAGGATAAAGCAGGATTTCTCGACTCTGGCAATATTGATATTTTGGGCCAAAGAATAGTTGTTGGGGTATTGTCCTGTGCACTATAGAAAGTTTAGCAGTATCTTAGGCCTCTACCCACTAGATGCTATTAGCACTTCTTACCTCAAATTACAACACTGCAAAATGTCTACAATCATTTCCAAATAAATGTCCCTTGAGGGGCAAAACAGTGCCCAGTTGAGAACCACACCATAGAAACACTGCCTTAGAAAAATATTTTTAAGAAACTCTCCTAATGAAGAAATGTTTACTTACCATTCAGAAATTCCTTTACTTTTATTACTTTTTGTTAAACTAAGGAAAAATTAGACTTAATGTTTTGTCTAAAAAACATGTCTAGCATGCTACCATTCCTAATAAAGTATTTCAATCTATTCATTCATCCATTTGTATGTATGCATTGGAAGAGAAAGAAGTCTATTGGTAGTGAGATTTTTTTAGTGACATTTTAACTTTGTACTATGCATTGCCTGACTATTCACAGCAACTGTGAATCATTTCTACAAAAACAAGCCTAAAAAATAAAAGTACTAAAAAATAAAAATCTAGCAGAAGCTGGCACAAAATAGACAGTAACAACTTGCTGTTTCTTATTAACTACTTAACTACATTAAATGTCTTGGGCAAAAAATAATAGTTATTGTATACAAGGTCCAGTCATCTAAAAAAATCAATTCTAGTCACTAACATCATCACTGAGACTGGGGTGGGGAAAAGTGTTTAAGCAGGCATACATTGCTGGTAATATAGGTAACCGATTAAGCAAGAGGTCCAAAGATATTTGGTAGTGTTTAAAGAAAATACCAAAGAGATTGTCATGCATGACACCAAAGATTATGAATAATCTAATTCTAGGCCACTTAATAGCAAAAAGATCAAAATGAAATAAAAAATTTAACATTCCAATCTCTATGCAGTAGTATCACATGTAATTTTTCTCTTATACTTTTTCTATAGTTCAGAAGTTTTCTACATTTGCTTTATAAATTAGAAAAAATTTTACAAAAATTGATTAAGTCTAAAGAAACTTGAGCAAAGGAAAAATGAGGTTTATTTGTTTTAATTCTGGCTTAACTAATCTAATTTAATGATTTGAATACTTTTGAAAATTTGAATATATTTTTAATTCATCAAAACCTCTAAAGCATACTAACTGTCAGGACTGTGGAAGAAATGGATTTCTATATCACAAGGCAAATTTCCCTTCTACTGCTGTGGAACTGTACTAAAATCAAGCAATTCAGGAATAAAGAGTCAGAGGCACCAGGAAGAAAAGGGAAAAAGGTGACCTGAATTGCATACTACAGAATCCATTCTTAGACTGGCCACAATATCTAGAAACGTGAATAACTCTGGCCACCTAGCCTCTCTATCTGCCAGAGATCTAATTACTAGAAGGAAACTGCCTCTTTACTACTTTTCCAATGTACCTTGACATTAAGTGACTAATAGGCAGTGACAACTGTATCACAGTTTGGTAGTCAACAAAGGTAGAGAACTAAGTCGGAAAAACATTAATAGAAATATCATTTTTCCCATATTGTTCCCTAAAGTTAATTTCTTTCTGATTTAAAACATATACATATTGGAAAAAAAAATCCTTAAAGTTTTTTTTATAAACTATAATTGTCCTTGAGGCAAAAAGTTTGCTTATCAATGATCTGGAGATGAGAAAACACATACCCTTCCTTTTAAATCTTTACTGCATACAAAGAACATGTGCACTTGCTAACTGGACAAAATCCGACTTTATGAATCAAATTACACTATATCTCCTCCCCAACAATGAAAACAATCTTATAATAATCATTTATTATTTTGTAATACTTTAGTATAATAAATTTACTTTTGCATAAAAAAACTCAATACATTCAGGTAGATTCTCTAATTTCTTGAGATAAAAATATAATACGTTTCCCTGTCCATCTACGTGAAATATAATCAAGAAAAAAACCTCGGTTGGCGTAACAAGTCCACGTATTATTTTACTAAAATTTAGCATTTATAGTTCAAGCCATATCAAGAAATTGGTATGTAAAGACAAGGTATGTAAAATAACCAAAATGCTGACGAATGTATATAATGCAGTCATTTGGGAAGTCAGACATGCAATTGTTAGAAGTGGAATTTAGAATTCAAAGATTAAAGAAATATAATTTGAATCCAAATATCTCATCCCAAATTACAAATAACTTTATTAACTATTATGTCAATGTTTTGTCTATTTTTATTTGGAGGTGTGTGGTTATCTTAAAGTTTATCTGTACTATCTAAATCAAGAAATGTTGCCACTTTAATGAAAAATACTTTCACTCTAACAACATTATCAAAATGCAATGTACACATGATTAAACATGAAATTTCAAATTACACAAGAATACGTATGTCAAAACAAGATATTTAATACCGCAAAATTGACCAGCTTTTCCAGATACATAAATTACTTGAAGTACTGTATGGTAATTCCTCATACATTAAGGACCCAGTCGAAGCATAGGGCTATTCATTTCAAAAGGATATTGCTACATATGACTACATCAATATTACTGCCAGGCTGTCCCAAATAACGGGCACTTAATTGTAGTCTGCGCGACAGAACAAAGAGGCCGACATGCCACTAGGGATGACAGTGCTGCAGTCTGGGGTCGCTGGGGAAGAGATGACGAGAAGAGATGCAGTATTCCGTAAAAGGAAAGGGCCTACAACCTTTGTAGAGAGAGCCTACGCAGACACAAGAGCGGGTGGTGGGGGAAAGGACCTGGGAAAATGAGAAGCAGCTTTCACGGAAGACGGGTGGGGGCAGGAGACTACCAGCTTGCTTCTTCACTTCTACCACTGGAGTCATCCTCCCACCGCCACTGCTCCTCAAGGCCACCCGCTCAGTTTTTAGCAAGACTCAGAGCCCCGAAGCTAAGTTGAAGTGACCACGGGAGATAAGAAGAAATAGAGACGGAAGGCATCCCTCGCTGGGTGGGGTGCCACCTTCCCGCCGGGGCTCACCCAGCCCCACTCAAGTCCCTTTGTTTTCCGCCTCCCACGCTAGTACCCCGAAGGCTAACAAAAACCACCTTACCCAGCTCGCCATGGAGCACAGGCCCAAAACACTCCCCATCTCCAAAACGTCGCAGGAGAGGCAGAAGCCAACAAAATGGAGACAGCGCCACTCTCGCCTTTTGAGACTTATTTACGATTTACGAGCCACTTCCGGCGCAGAGCCGACCCCGCCCTTCATGCGTCACTTCCTCTGAGGCCTGGGCGGAGTGGAGGAAGCCGTGGAGCTGAGAATGCACATGCGCAACCGTGGAGAGTGTTTCGCTGTAATGCAGGGCTGACCGTAGTTTGCCAAATTAAGAAAACGATGTGAGAAAAACCCACCTTATTTTTTACTTGAATTTGAGTATCGGTAGAGGATAGAGCTGAGGTGATGGTTCATGCTTTGCCCTCCGTCAGAGAATCCTCTCTTTTGTGAGATTGCCTTTTCGATGTTCATCCATCGTACCTCCTCTTCTCTTTTCCTACTTTTGCGTCTCCTCCCACCCCTTCCATCCTCAGTTTACTCCTACAGCCCACTGCCTAAGACAAGTTTTATTGTAACATTTCTATTCATTTGGGTGTTTCCAGTTCTTTGTAGCAGTTATGTTTGCTGTTGACATGCATTTTAATTTCTTATCCTATTAAGATGTTGAAGTTTGCACAAAAATTTTAAATAACTAAGACATACTAATTATAAAAACCAACATTGATTTTGTCGAGACATTTGGAACCCTTCCTTATTAGGTGATAATATACATCTGCAGGGACTTGTGTTCATTTAAAGTTACTAGTTCTTATAGTGATTGCTCTCAGAAGATACTCTGGGAGAAGAGTGTCAAATAGCCATTGTTATAATAAATTGTCATAAAATCTACAAAAATTGATTGGGTGAAGGTCAGGTAACACCTACGATGTAGAACTGTGGCCATTAACTGATAGGTAGAAAAAAGGAAGGAATGGGATTGGATAAAAGATAATAGATGTAGTTTGGATATATTTAACTTGAAGTCTTTGAAATGCTACCCCTCAGCGCTTGAAAATGCAAGCTTGAAAACCAAGAGTTAACGAGATAACAAAATTAAAGTAATTTACTTTGCAGTTATAATTGAAGATATAGGATTGAGGAAGATAGCCAAAGAGAAATGTTAAAGAGGCTTTAATATGGAACCAAAAAAATTAACACCAAAAGAATTATCTAAGGTGGGGAAAAGCGACTTCTCACTTTGGTTGTTAATGTCATCTCAACATTCTCTTTCCAAGTTCTGCATTATGAATTCTGCTTTCATTGTAAGTTTTGAAAATACCTTTAGTAAGATACTCGACTCATCAGAATCTCAGTATCTTCATTAGTATATGAACCCTAATGAGTTGTGAAGATGAAACATATAGTGTTATAAATGATAGCACTATGTGTAGCATACTGTAGGCATCAACACAAGCTAATTACCTTTATTTTTTCCTACCAAGATTAACTAGTTTTTGTGGTTTGCCAAGTTTCAGTAGACATAGTGTATACCCAAAGAGCTACTTCAATTTCTCAGACCATTTCCTCAGATTATATAACATTTTCTGGTTTATATTCTTGGGAAGGATATCATATTATTACACATAACATGGAAGCTTACTTCCCAGAATCCCTGATACTTTTATCGATGAAGCCCAGATAGCATTCAATCTTCATTGATCATCTATAGATTGCCTACTCAATTGCAATTTCTGATCTCAGAGCTGTGTCTTTTCCTTAGGCAGGCCTATAGTAATTTATATGAAATTGATCTCATATATAGATCCAGTAATAGAGTGATACATTCACTATAAAAATCATAGCTTCTATACAAGTTTCTTTCATGACAAGCCGTGGGAAGGCATTTTGGGGAATCTACAGTTATGGGAGATCAGAAAAGGATCTACCAAATCCATTTAAGGAGTGGTGCGCATATAGTAGAGAGTTTCAAGAAAGACTGCCAAATCCACATTTTTGTCTCCATAAGGGAATTCATCTGGATGCCTCACCAGCACTTAAATGCAACATGTCAGAAAGTGAAGGTGTATCACCCAATAAACATCTTTAAATTTTGAAATATTTTGAAATATTTTGAAAAAATATTTGAAATATTTTGAAATATATTTGAAATATTTTGAAAAAAGGTAAATAGAATTATGTCATAACTGTGAACTTTCCACTCAAGAAATAAAATGTTACAAATAGAATTTATCCTGATTACGTTACTTCTCCCCCTCTTCCAAGTGATGAGTATAGTCAATGAATATTAGGGACCAATTAACAATCTGTACTACAATGTCTTCATCTACTCACTGTTGTAAATTGCTCTTCAGAGTGGTTTTACCAATATACACTTTCTCCAGTAGTGTAGGAGAGTTGTTCCACGTCTTTGCCAGCATTTGAGTTTGTCATTCTTTAATTTAGCTAATATGACAAGTGAAATGTCTCATTATGCTATCAATTTGCATTTTCCTGATAACTAGTAAAGTTGAGAACTTTTGTTTATTGACCATCAGAATATCTTCTTATGCATAAAGTGCCTTTTCAAGTCTTTTGCACATTTATCCACCTATTTTTTATTGATTTGTAGATGATTTGAATGTATTTTTGGATATAAATTTTTCGTTATGTGTGTAGCAATTATTATCCCTC